CCGGTAATGAGTAGTTATAAGGTCAAGGACTCCATATCAAAGGAGGGAGGGAGGTATGACTCAATCCATGGCTCCCAGAGCTTCCGGAATGACCCCATCGTATCCCTTTGGATGGCGGTGAGTTTCTCAAAAAACATTACTCTCGATACTCTGTTTGACTTCAGCAAAAGGTATAGTGGGGGACTTCCAAGCCTTCGCTATGACCCTTTGGCCTCTGTAAGTATGAATGTGACTAGTCGATGTTGTCTGGTGGTACACGCCACGGGTTTTTTATGTAACAGGGCCTCCAAAGGGTCCTTGCATTTATCCAGAGATTTATACATTTTGGGAGGTATCCATGGAAGGTTAAGTAGAGCCGTCGGGGAACATGCGTAGGCTTCCAACGAGACCCATAATGGCATTTCGCTTTTCGGACTTGCTGTTTAATTTTGCACTTACAGTAATCAATGACCTGAATTTGAAAAAAGGGCTGCACCTAATTTCCCCTATGTGACCTAAAGACTAGGCAGAGATCACATGCTCTCTGGCTACCAGAAAAATTGTGTTTTTTTAATGTCATGGGGACTGAATCATTTTATTTAATTTCAGTCAGAAAAACATTGAGGGCCCGTACACACCAGATGCAGTGCGTTCCAGTCCGATTCTGGCCAGAATGCACTGCCCCGCATTGTGGCCGGCTCACTTTTTTGTAAGGGCGTGTGGCAGGCCATTGAAGTGAATGGCACCGTAGTCACGCCCTCCGGCCACAATGCAATCAGCCGCACGGGCTCGCAAGGCACATTATGCCTGCGGTCTGGTCTGGGGCGATCAAAATAGTGCTTGCAGCATTTTGATCGGACCGCAGTCATAATGTGCCTTGCGATCCCATGCGAGGCAGTGCGTTCTGGCCAGAATCAGCCCATTAAAGATAAACTAACAAAAACTGTTTTTGGTGCAGTATTCAGCTTCAGTCCAGAGATTTTACCTGCAGTACTTTTTATTTCTGCTAGATTTCCTCAGTCTGATGGCCAGCATTGTTTAACTATTTTCCTCTGAGCCCAGGTCACCCCACCCTAAGCTTGTGACTGGACAATGAAAGGAGAAGTAGCACAGTCATGAGCTCATCTGTCTGTCACTCTGCTCTCTTTTCCTATCAGCATGCTCTTTGCACTGCTTCACTCTCTCAAACTCTAGCTCTGCTATATAGGGACTCAAAGAGGCTGATGCCAGGTGAAATGCAGGTACTTATACTGCTTGCATTTACATAACAATACATTTAATGAGCTATTAATGACTACAGAGATGCATTAATGTGTGCCTTTTAGATCGGTGTATAGTTTAGCTTTCAGCATCAACAGATTCAACAGAAACATCACCTAGTCCTAGAACTCAAGCATCAACAGCAGATTCACATCACCCATTTCTACATTCAGTATTCAACATTTGTCTGTTGGGAAGAATAATCTGCATATGTGATTATGAGCAAATATGGCTTCCCCCATGTATGCAGACAGATGCAAACTGCATGTAGAAATGCCACTTTTAAAGAATTGATAGATGAATAGATTATTATATTAAGATGGTAACACATTTATATATAAAAAAGACTGCGGCTCCCTTTAAGATATCCTAAGAATATAATTTCTTGCAGGCAGTTGTTCACTAGCCATGTGATCCGGCAGACAGCACCGTGACCCTCGCCTGGGAAGGGTCAGTCAGCTGGGGTCTGAGGATTAATGTCCTGGATTCTGGGACTGGACCAGTGAAGCATCACTTTTCTGTGAATGTCAACTGTGGAATGCGGGGCTGCTGGGGGGAAGGGGGGGATCCGGGAATACCGGCTCACCCGGGATTGATATAGGCAATGGTTTGCCTGAAAGCCGAGAGGTAAACAGCTGGCCACTGGCAGAGCGGCCATAATTACCTGCAGGAGTCTGTAACTCTGCAGGCAGACAGGAGGATTAACAAACCATCAGAAAGATTTAGGCCCTGGATGTAGTGGTGCGGGCAGGGATGTGTGGGGTCCCACTAGATCATGTGGCTCCACTTTCCATCCCTGTAACCTCCAGATAAACCTGTCAGTAAGGAAGACTGGGAGTGGAGTTCGGCAGCTGTATCATGTGCAAGAAAGCATAATGGCCTGTGGTATGCCACAGAGTCTGTACTGCAGTCTGTGTTACCATGTACTACTCAAGTATTGTGGTACTGCTTGTACTGTTTAGTACCCTGTCTCCCATTTGTGACTTGCTGTCATCTATCACCCTGCCTCTCTGCTGCAGCCCTGTATTGTTATCTATTTCCTTCATCCATGCTCCAGACCTTTGCTATCTTTTGTATGCCTGCTCCATTCTCTGCTGTCATTTGTCACCCTCCCTCCCTGTCCCAGCCTGTATTTTCTTGCTTTGACTCCCTGTTTTCCTCGAGCACAGAACTACTTCATACCAGTGATTGGCATGTGTGTGGTGTTATCTTAGGATGACCTACAATCTGATATGTTGGTGCACCTTTTAAAGTTTTGTGAATAAAATATTGCACAGTCAGACTTGTGTTGGAGGTGTGTAGAGGAGGAGGGTACAATGCTTCATGTTTGGTGGTCAGTGTATCCGCTCCTTCAGACAAGAGTTGTTTGGTCTGTGCAGCCAAATCACACACATTAGCTGGCCAGCATCTCCAGAAATAGCCCTTCTGTCCATTTTCCCAGGAAGAAGGGTCTCTTCCATTTTCTCCTTTCCGCTGGTAGGATTGATTCCTAGACACTGGAGGTCAACCATGGTTCCACATATCAGAATATGGGTGAAATAAATCCTATTATGAGAATGTAGGAACTAACCACATCTGCATGACCCAATTTTCAACATGGCACGTGTGGATTGAATTTTATTTCACTTTCCGCATCCAAGATTATTATTTGACTTAACCCTTTGGAGCCAGAGGGCTCATCTGGATGATATGGGCCTCACCCAGCTGGATCCAGTCTGTTTTTACCACTCTCCTCTCTTTTTTTTGTTTGTCTGTCCTTTTCCCCCCAACGCTCGCCCCGTCTGGTCTCTACGTTTCCCCCTGGGTGCGTCAGTAGAAGTAACACCTCCTTATTTGCCTACAGCAAGCCTGGTCAGCTTGTATTTCTTATCATCCGTCCTCTCAATGTTTAGTACCTAATTTATTATGTTACACTGTCTTTGCCACGGATATCTTAATGTAACCTTTTGGTAGGGGAGCTTGCCTCCCACCAATGCATATAGTGCGTCAAAACTTTAGAAAACCTATTCTTTAAAAAAAAATGTGTGCAGTCTATTGAAGGAAAGGAGTGAAGTCAACGTAATAACATATCAATGCAATAACTTAGATAATCGGATCCAAAAGGAGACATTCACACAGTGTGTATATACATTGGCAGGAAAGATCTTACTGTGGCATTCCAAAGAAACAGTGGCGTCCAAGAATATTCTTCATGTATGTATGGCCGGTTTTAGTGGAACAGCCGATTGGATCTTTTCTCCAGCTGTTTCTCATTAACTGTTTGAGATATTGTTGCATCTCATCTGCATCGTGTGATTGTGCACTCCCAACCCAAGATTACGCGTTTACTCGATTATTGTTTGCCAGATTGTGCATCCATGGCCATTCACCATCTTAGGTTCTTGAGCAGTCTGACTGGTATCAGAGGGTGTGAAATTCTCAACTATGTTCTCCCTGTCTTCCTGTCCTGGCTGATAGATGTTACTGGTACTGAGTTTTACAGACTCTCTGGTAACACTGAGCCGCTGTGGGGAATTGACGTCCTCCAGACCCTTCAGCCTTTTAACACTCTGCTTGCAGAGGTCAGAGCCCCACTTAACATAGTTTATTTTCCAGTGCTGGGTCCTTATTCAGAGACTCTTGATAC